TGAAAACTAGCTCAAAGGCTCTTTTGGAAATCTCAGTTTCCTTTCTTGCTCAAATGTGAAAACATTTTAACTCTTGGGAATACTTAGTTCCCGAATAATCTTTGAAGAATGAACTTTACTCTTACTCTTTATTGAAAACTAGCTCAAAGGCTCTTTTGGAAATCTCAGTTTCCTTTCTTGCTCAAATGTGAAAACATTTTAACTCTTTGGGAATATTAGTTCTCGTATAATCTTTGAAAAATGAACTTTACTCTTACTCTTTACTCTTTACTGAAAACTAGCTCAAAGGTTCTTTGGAAATCTCAGTTTCCTTTCTTGTTTAAATGTGAAAACATTTACTCTTTGGGAATACATAGTCCCGATATACTCTTTTGAAGAAATGCACTTCAAACTTTACTCTTTACTCAACTCAAAACTCAAGTCTTTAAACAAAGTTGAAACATTTGTAAAAAGACTTTTTGGAAAACTTTATGGAACTTCTCTTAACTTGACTCTTGATTTCTCTTGACTTCTCTTGACTTGACTCTTAACTTCTATTGACTTGACTCTTAACTTTCTTGACTTGACTCTTAACTTCTCTTGACTTTGACTCTTAACTTCTCTTGAACTTTCTTGACTTGACCTCTTAACTTCTCTTGACTTGACTCTTAACTTTCCTTGAATTGAATTATGGATTCAAGGATTGTGATTTGTGATAGGAAAGATCTCATTATGTTTAGGAATGATTTTAGATAGCTAAACATGAGAAATGATCAAAAAATCACCGCATGGGAGCTAGTCCGCGACGCAGAGGTGTATTTAGATTTTGGTCGCGAAAAAACTTTTTGAGGAAAAACTGTCTGTGACCGCTCTACGACGCGAGGAAGAATTTTGTGAAACTGGGGCAGGTTCGCGATGCTGCCTGGAGCACCAGATTTGCCCGACATTTTTCTTCTTCATTTTTCCAACCCCAAATCGCCTAAACTCGGTTCTTTTTATCAAATTCCCTTTAGATTCAAATACCCAGTATGTATACACAAGAATCTAAGTCAAACAACTCAAGAAACAACACTATAACCTCAAGGAACTCCTCAACCTCAACCTAACTCAAGAACGAAGGCCAATTTTCAAGAACACCATCAAGATTCATCAACTTTCAACTTTCTAGAACGAACTTCGGTGAAATAAACATGCTTGGCGCGTGGGTGAGCGAACCCAACGCTATGAAAGACTCACATACCTCTTTAGGGATCAACCCTTATCGAAATCCACAAGCCAAACCTTCAAGAACGACGAACTTTGCTCTTTCTCCTTTTTTCTCCTCTTGCGTTCTTTCTCCAAAAACCCTAGCGTAAATCTCCAATTGCCTAAACTGAACCAATTCAGTTTTTACCCTTAATTAATTCACCAAAAACGAATTAAAATAATAGGGTATGGAAAAGACCAGAACACCCTTTAAAAATCCGGATTGGACATTTCCTTTTTTGAAGAGCCCAACTTCCAAAGAGGATATCTCACTCATACGAACTCGGAATCGCGCAAACTTAGCGGCGTTGGAAAGATTATTCCAAGAGCTTTCCAATAATACCTGTAAGTACACCTAACTCATCCTGATCTAGGAGTTATATCTGTTTGAAGTTGACCAAAAACTCAAACTTAACTTAACCAATTTTTCCAGATTTTTATTATTTCCAAAAATCACTCTTTCTAATTCTAGCTCTTTCTAGTTCTTTCAATTTGCGAGATGTTACAATATCTCCCCCTTGGGAACATTCATCCTCGAATGAGATTACTCTTAGTAGGCTAAGGGTGTAGCATCTAACACCCAACTCAAACACCCTACAAGCAATGCAATTACAACATGCTAATCTTATAAATAAAAGCCAAGAAAGGATTAGTACCTTAATTAGGAACTTCTACCGGATTCAAAGAGATGTGGATATCTCTTCTTCATATCTTCCTCAGCTTCCCAAGTAGCTTCCTCAACAAACTGGTTCCTCCATAGAACTTTGACTAATACAACTTCCTTAGTCCTCAACTTGCAAACTTTGCGATCTAGAATCTGAACTAAGATAGGTTATCCTTGATCCCAATATCTTCAGTTGGTATGATCAATAAAGGATCTCCCATGCACTGCTTCAACATGGAGATGTGAAAAAAAATGGATGAACCGCTGCTATCTCTTGTGGTAGCTCTAACTCATAAGCTACGTTGTCAATCCTCTTGGATATTTTGTAAGGCCAATATACCGGGGACTAAGCTTCCCCTTCTTACCAAATCTCATAACACCCTTCATGGGTGAAACTTTCAAGTATACCCAATCATCTACTTCGAACTCTAACTCCATTCTCCTAACATCAGTGTAGAATTTCTGACAACTCTGCGGTGTTTTCAACCTCTTTTGAATGACTTTCATTTTCTCCATCACTTGATGAACTAAATCTGGTCCTATCAACCCAGCTTCACCAACTTCAAACCATCCAATAAGAGATCTGCATCTTCTCCCATAAAGAGCTTCATAAGGAGCCATTTGGATGCTAGCATGGTAACTATTGTTGTAAGCAACTCAATGAGAGGTAGGTGATCATCCCAATTACCCTTGAAATCAATCACACAATCCACCTTGATACCTCAAAACACTATCTCCCCCTTGTTCAAAAGCCATCACTTGTTACTTATGAACACTTGCCTTTAACTCAAGCAATAAAGGATCTTGGTCTTGCTTCTCTTTTACTTCTGACACTAATGAGGATTCAGCCCAATTCATCACCACTACTACTCCTTATGTGGAATCCATTAATCGAACTCCTAATCGTGCAAGTCTATGCACATCTTTTGCTAACTATTTCTTATCTTTCTCAAAATGGGCGGTACTACCCATAGACAACCTACTCAAGGCGTCAGCAACAACATTTGCCTTACCGGGTGATAAGGAATACTCATGTCATAATCCTTCAGTAATTCTAACCACCTCATTTGTCTGAGATTAAGCTCTTTATGAGTAAACACATATTAAAGACTCTTGTGATCGGTCAACACATCCACATGAACACCATAAAGATAATGGCGCCATATTTTCAAAGCAAATACCACAACAACCAACTCTAAGTCATGGGTTGGGTAATTCTTCTCATGAACTTTCAACTGTCTGGAGGCATAAGCTATAACTTTGTCATTCTGCATTAGTACACAACTCAAACCAACTCTAGACACATCACAATATACAACAAAGCCTTGCGTACCTTCTGGTAAGGTCAACACTGGGGCAATAGTCAACCTCTTTTTCAATTTCTGTAAAGCTTTTCTCACAAGCTTTAGACCATTGAAACTTCACTATTTTCTGAGTCAACTTGGTCAAAGGGGATGAAATAGATAAAAATCCCTCGACAAACCTTCTATAATAACCAGCCAACCCCAAGAAACTCCTAATATCAGT